GACTGTTGATGTCCGCAACCAAACAATTTGATTAGTGTGTAATCTCCAGGGTGGATCTGAGAATGAGAGCTTTGGGATGTAGGAGGGGGCTCTGGTTTGAGGGGGGGTCAGGGCTTGGCCAGGTGGGGCTTATTTTGAGCATTTCCCAGTCAGCAGTGCAGTGCAGCAGGGGTGCTGAGACAGGCTTCCTGCCACCTCCTGGCATTGCAAACCATGCTGGGTCCCAGAAGCAGCCAGCAGCAAGTTCCTAGTCAATGGAAGTGCGGAGCTAGTGCTTAGGGCAGGGGCAGTGCACAGAGCCCTGTGCACTCTCCTACCCTGCTCCCACTTAGGAGCCAGGCCTATTGTTGGCTGCTTCTGGGGTGCAGCACAGTCTGCAGTGCCAGGAAAGGCAGGTAGCCGGCCTTAATACCCTCACTGGTGACTTAATCCCCTGCAGCAATGAGACACAGAGCCTAACATTCCACGATCCAGTACTGGGTCATGACTCATCATTTGAAAACCAATGCTCTAGTCCATCCCCAAAGGGACAATGCTGTATTGTTTACTACACAGAGTGCTCTCCTAAATTGTGAAAACCAGTTTTGAAATGTCTCAATTGATGGAGTTTCCACTACTACTTGTGGGAATCTACTCTGCAGTCCACTATTAGGAAATGTTTCTCAAAGCTTAGCCGGAACTGCCTTTCCTCAAATTTATGTTACTTCTACTTACATCTCCAGAGACCACCATGCATTGGTTTCATTCTAGCATTCCTCACTTGTTGGTTATATTCTGCACCCTCTGGCCATATCTGTTCTAGCTACGCTTATTACAAGTTGGACCTCCCTGGCCCAGCACTCTCAGGACCTGAGCGGCCCAGAACCAGGAAGGTTGCCAGCCCAGGAAAGGTCAAGGCTTCTCTCTGGGCTGTGGGGATGCCCGGAGCCGGGGCTCCCTCCCCTGCTGCTGGTCCAATGCTGGGGCTCCCCGGGTCAGCTTACTCAGGCCAGATTCTTCAGCTGGTGCCAGGCCCGCTGCTGCCGGGGATTCTTCCAGACCGCCACTGGGGCTCGGCTCCCCACCCAATATAGGATCAGCCCCTGCTGGCCCAGCCAAGGCTCCCCAGCACCCACGGGACTCCCAGCTGGCTCATGCACCTTACCTCTGGGGCCCTCTGGTCCAGCAACATCTGTGGTCCTTCCAGAGGGTGGTCAAGTGATGAAAAAAATTGCAATTAATTGCAGTTTTAATTCCATTATTAAACAATATCAGAATACCATTTATGTAATTGGGGGGTTCTATAGTTTCAAGTATAGGATCAGGGCTGGGGCTCTGGTCTTATACCTAAACTTGATGCTTCAGCCCTCTACAGCGCTGGGCTCCTGCCACCAGTGTAGCCACAGCCTGGGGTTTCTGCCCTGCCCACAGGTATGCAATTAATGCATTAAAAATTAACATTAATGTTGTTTTCAATTAGTCGCAGGTGTTAAATGTGATTGACTGGCCTGTTTACTACTAAATTTTTATTTTACTCTTTAACACCCTTGTGTTTACTTCTCTTCTCACCACAGCTCCAGTTTTAAATCTTCCTGATGTTGAGATGCTCAGAATTAAACACAATATCCTGGATAGAACAATCAGCGCAATAGAGAAAACACATTTCCTCGCAGATCTATGACATGAAGACCATATGTAGTCTCAAAGCACATTCTTTTTTCTGCTATAATTGCACTGCAAGTTCCTATCCCATTTTCTCTCCATCAAGCTTGCGTTTCTTGTGGTGTTGCTGCTTTTCAAGTGTCTTCCGCTCATAGTGGTTGAGAGGAATGTGCCAAGGAGATAAAACTACCCATTTAAAAATGCTCATCCCAATTATTGCTCAGCATCCTGCTACGCTGCTTAATGGCCAGGCAAGTATGGTGATGCCAATGCAAATAATGCATTAGTACCAGGGTGCTGGGATTTTCTATCACAAGAGGGACTACTGGGATCTGTCATCCTTGGTTGTGGTATGAGGCATAAACTTACTTACTACAGCATTTACATTAAAGCTTAACTAATAAATTCTGATCTCAGAATCAGTCTTTATCTTTTCTCCTCTATAGCTATGGCTTTGATCCTCTATAACAGCGGTTTCAAACTTTTTGGGCTCCGGAGCCCTTTACATGCATAAAAATTAATGCAGAGCCCCAGCGGTCCACTGATTGTGTGTGTTGTAGCTATCGATGTTTCTAGTTTGTCAACCTCGCGGAGCCCTGGGGCTCCGCGGAGCACAGTTTGAGAAACACTGCTCTATAAGAAGATGGACGGATGGTGTAACAGTCATCCTGAAAGATGCACCATGATGGACCACCATAATTTGCCTGTAATTAGTTCACGGTGGATACTACACATAATAGATTTCTTACAGAGTAACAGGTTTAGTACCACATCCTCCAGAGAATATGCAGGAGAATAACATTCCTGTCATCATCTTTGATTCAGAGATAGGTTTAGAGGTAACAGTTGTGCTCTGAGAGGTATATGTGGTGGACCATAACATCTACTTGGCAAGTCTGCCTCTGGGTGATGTGCATCAGTGAGAGATTTCTTACTGATCAGAACACTTGTGTTGCTAGGGTCAGGAGACTGCCTGAAGAAGAGTGCTGAACTTCTACATGCTACCACTCCCCAACCCTATTTTTCAAATGGTATAGTTCTGGAGAGAGAGTTTAAGAGTCCTCTGCAGAATGACCTGTGTCCATTATCCCACCAGTGTGCTCCCAGACAGATTTCTGCTGAATTTCCTGGAAAAGTAGCTTTTGTTGGAGGCTTTTTAAACTGTCCAAGACCTCTGGAGAGAGATACTCAGGAGGCATCTCATTTTCCTGTTCCTGGTCCTCCTCTTCATCCTCCTCTACCAGATCATCAGGAGGCAAAGGGGAACATCTGGAGATATAGCCCTGGTCTGATTGCACTGACTGTCTCTGATCTTTGCATGGGTTATTGAAAACTACCTGCTGCTGTTGCTCTTCACCATCTTCTTGCCCGAGAGAGGGCTCAGAAGGGATGATGCTTTGCTGGTAAAGAGAGTACATTAATCCCTCCAGCTGTTGCCTCACTTCATTTGGGAGGTTGTCTGCAGATTTCTGGTTGTCTGATGATGGGACATCAAAATCATCATGCAGGATGATGCTGTTCCTCATTGGGACACTAGTCTCGAGCAGAGGGATTCCTTCCATCCAATCCGTGTTGGTCAGCACCTGATGACTAGCTACATTTTTACCTTCTGCAAGACAGATTGGCTCCACCATCTGAACTGGAGGAGCCTCATCCATAGGAATCATCAGGGTCTGGAAAGCTGGATCCTGCTGTTGCTTAAGCTGAGGCTGCAGTTTAAAACTTTCACCCTCATCTTCATTCACATGGAGGATAACAGCACAACAGCCATTTGCATCTGGCTCTTGAACATGCAGCTGCCGTTTCATAATTACCCTATCAACCAGCATTAATTCCTCTGGTATTTCCCTGTCCAGAGACTGCAGGTCCTCTTCATCTTCTGAGCATGTGTTCTCTCTCTCAAACCAATCAGGGTGCTTTGCCTGCCATTCCTGGAATGTCTGTATTGCCTCCTTCAACTTCCAGCCACTGGAGTTTTCAGCATAGTTGTCAGCAGTGATCTCCTGGATTTGATGGATCCGCCCTGGTTCAAACTTCTCCATATCCTGGATCAGGAAGTAAATGTCCTCAAACCTGTCCATCAGCTGGTACTTGGATGTGACATTGAATGGGTCAGGAATATTCTTATCTTCACTTATGCCCTCAAAATAGCAGACTATATACATTCCAAAACAAGCTGGCTTCTTGAAATCTGGCAGGATCAAATTCAAGGCTGGAGTGAACATGTCTCCAAAAGGCTCCCATCGATCTTGTTTGAGACATACATCTGTTCCCTCCTTTCCCAGCATAGCCTGCCACTTTGCCTGGGTTCCCCGAGAACACAAAAGGATGATCTTCGAAGAGAGTTCTTCCATTTCCTTTTTTTGTCGAGTAAGCCAGGGTAAGGCCCCAATCTCTGAAATCTGACGCTTTTCCAGCAGATCCAGGACTACCTCAGTACCACAGACTGTGATCAAGAACTGGGCAAACTTCACCACCACATCCACATAAAGTGGATGATCAGCAGAGTACACAATCCAAACCTTCCGGGGCTTCAGGAGTGGTGGAGGCACCTGTGGAAGTAACAACTCTGAAAAAAGGTAAAAAAAAAAAAAAAAAAAAAAAGGCGTTTATTCCAGTACCATTTGCTGAAGCAGTATCTGTGTAGCCAAAAACAATAAACTGACCAAGGACACACTGTACAGATAAATACAACATGGCACAGTTCAACCTCCACAAAGCCAGAGACACGGCCCTTTCTTTTGCTCCTGATGTTCTACCACAAGCACAAAAAACTCCCTCGGCACCACCGTTTTACTCCTGTGAAAAAGTCAAGTAACTCTAAATGCACTTCAAGTAAAAGCCAAGGTCCTTGTTCTGGCAGGTCCCCAAGCAATCAAGCTTAGCTCTTCTACACACAGATGGACACATTCACTCACAGTTCATTCTCATGTAAGATGCAGATTGTAGTTTCTAAAGCAGTGTTTCTTAAACTGTGTTCCGTGGCACACTGGTGTGCCATGAGGCAGTTGGTGGTGTGCTGAGGAGAACAACAGAATTCAAAATGGCTGCCCCCAACTTTTTTTTTTTTTTTTTTTGGGGGCTCAACAAAAAATCTTTGGTGTTCTTCATTAAAAAAAATATTGTTTGGTGTTCCTCGGTCTTAAAAAGTTTAAGAAACACTGTTCTAAAGGATTTCATTTGATAAAGCAGCAAATGCAAAAGCTCCAACCTTAGTTGTTCTCTGTCCAAGGCTGCTGGTGGCCCACAAATCCTCTTTATAGTTAAAAGAGAACAGCTTTAAAGTTACAGAGCAATATTTTGGTATCAAGAAATAGCAGCAGCAAATTAATTCAAGGATGGTCCCCAGAGGACATTTAAGGTGGGTTCCTAGAATGTGCAGTATGAAGGGGCTCTCTTACAGCACAGAAAGGCTCTCTTACCATGGCCAATGTTGTTGCTGCTGAATTTCCCATGCTGGCAGCCTGAAGGGAAAAAAAACCAACATTGTTCAATCTAAAGACATTTCAATTATATTTTTAGAATGATATTGCTCTCTGATCTTTGAAGGACACAGCAGGGGATCTCTGATAGCAAACCTAACGAAAAGCACCAAGTGAAGATTAAACCATCCATTTATGAAGTCTCTTCCATAGCCAGCTACAGTCTGCATCACTCCCCTAGAGAGGAGCTACACCCAAAGTCAGTCCTCTTCTCCTCTCTTATCCCCTCAAATTCTCTTCCTAGAGACAGAGAACATACGGCAAACCAACTCCACTATCCTCACCCAAAGTCAGTCCTCTTCTCCTCTCATCCCCTCAAATTCTCTTCCTAGTGACAGAGAACATACAGCAAACCAACTCCACTTCTTAGAAACAGAAGGCTGTAACTGCCAAAATATCCCCCAACTCAACCACGAAGAATTTATTACAGGATACATCTGAGGGAGAGTTAAACCTCACAGTATTTATCATCACTGCTCTCAGACAAAAATGGTTATCACAGAGAGTTGTGTTGTATCATTCACAGTTGACTATGGCTTAGCACAAGTCTTGATGAGTTAGCACATGGTCTTTCAGTTTTTAGTCCCAGTTCATGCTCACTGCATCACCTTGAATAAGTCAAACTCTCTGTGCCTCACTGTCTTTGGAAAGTGCTACATAAATGCAAACTATTGCAGCAGAACTAGTTTCTATAGAGATTTTGAGATCTAATATCAGTAGTTTGTGAAACATGAGGCCTGCAGAACTGAAACTTTCCTATTTATCCAGAGGTAGAATTGGAGAAGCAGATCTGCAGAGGCTTAGCTTCAGTCTTATGAGAACATAGAAAATACAGAGGATGGAACAGTGAAGACCCACTTCTCTGGAGTTAGATTTCCCAAGAGTTGAATGCCAGGAGACAGAACAGTCTTTCCGTTAACCGAGTGTTCGGAAAAACAAGACTGTTTTGTATTAGGGTACTACATGAACCCTGGAATGGAGGCGGAAGAAATTTCCTGATGACAGAGCATCATACAGGGAATTTAGGCTAGTACATAGAGAAATGAGGGAATGTTACAAGCATACTCCCAAGTCTCACTTCCCAGCTGACATCATCCTTACCTGCTGGTCTTCGAGTCATGTAAATAACACCAACTATGACTGATCCCACCAGTAAAATGCAGATGCCAGTGATACTCCAGTATAGCCACATAAGTGGATCATCTATGACACAAGAAGAGCAGTGTAAGACACAGCTTTATGTGGCTGAAAAGTCTTATCCACCAACAAAATGCTGTACTGAAATCTAAAAGCCAGCTGGACAGCAGCACCCAGTCCCCAAAAGTACTAGGAAGCAGCAGTAACTCCTTCATATAGCACCGTAGTAGCAATAGAACATAAGAACAGCTATACAGGGCCAGACCAACGGTCCATATACCTCAGTATCCTGTCTTCCGATAGCGGCCAATGCCAGGTACCCCAGAGGGAATGAACAGAACCGGTCATCATCAAGTGATACATCATGTGTTGACAATTCCCAGCTTCTGCCAAACAGGGGCTAGGGACACCAATCCTGTCCATCCTGGCTAATAGCCATTTATGGACCTATCCGCCATTAATTTATCTAGCTCTTTTTGGACTGTTATAAAGTCTTGAACTTCATAACATCCTCTGGCAAGAAGTTCCACCGGTTGTTTGTGCATTGTGTGAAGAAGTACTTCCTTTTGTTTGTTTTAAACCTGCTACCTATAAATTTTATTTGGTTACCTTTAGTTCTTGTGTTATGGGAAGGAGTAAATAACTCTTCTCTATTCACTTTTTCCACAGTCATGATTTTATAGACCTCTCTCATATTCCCCTTTAGTAATCTCTTTTCCACGCTGAAAAGTCCCAGTTTTATTAATCTCTCCTCATATGGTAGCCGTTCCATACCTCTAATAAATTTTTGTTGCCCTTTTCTGAATTTTTATGTTCAATTATGGCTGAAAATACTTAAACTCTCATGTTCAGATGCTTGGCTTTCTCTCAAATTTCTTGGGATGAAATGTTCAGTCCAGAAACAAATGGTTTTGGAAATCTGAGAAAGATTCCATTTAGCTACTTGAGTTATCACAGTCTGCTAAGAGTTTTAAACACTAGAAAAGACAAAGCAAACTGTACGCATACATATTAAAATATATGACAAGTTGTGACAATGTATCTGTGTCCACATCTACACAGGACTAATAATTTTTGTACAAGGCATGTCTCATAAGGCATCAAGTGAAAATTCATATATTTGCTGATCAGCATAGTCCTGAAAAAACATGTATGGCAACAGTGAAAAAACTTTTGTGGAAAAACTTGCCAGCTGTCTACACTGGCCGCTTGAATTTGCGCAAGAACACTGATGATCTAATGTAAGATTGTCAGTGTTCTTGCGCAAATACTATGCTGCTCCCGTTCGGGAAAAAGCCCTCTTGCGCAAATGTATCTGCACAAGAGGGCCAGTGTAGACAGCTAAAAACTGTTTTGCGCAAAAAAGCCCTGATGGCGAAAATGGCGATCGAGGCTTTCTTGCGCAAAACTGCGTTTAGATTGGCATGGACGCTTTTCCACAAATGCTTTTAACGGAAAATTTTCCGTTAAAAGCATTTGCGGAAAATCATGCCAGTCTAGATGTAGCCCTTGGGTCTCCTGGTATCCAGCAGGAAATGTTTTTCAAAAGAAGGACTGCAACTATAGAAAAGGAAGGACAAACATTCACCCTGCCCATTCCCAGCACCTTAAGCGATAATTGAAGGATTTGTTAGATTCTGAAAGAAAAGGTAGTAAGACTGCTGAGAGAATGTGGTGAAACAACTTTACTTTGAATCTAACTGTTAAAATTAGGCCCCACTTGCATTTTGTCTATTTTTCTTGTAACCATTTTGATTTTTATGCCCTGTTGTTTGTGCTCACTTAAAATCTTTCTATGGTTAATACACTTGGTTTTATTGTTTTATCTAATCCAGTGTGTTTCAATTGAAGTTTCTGGGAAACTTAAAGAGAAAGAAGAGGGGGAAAAAGTTGTGTGCATATTATTCCTTTTAAAGAGATAACAGACTTCAAATATAACTTATGTTGGCCAGGAGATAGCTGAGCCATACAGGACACATTAATGGGGGGAAAACTAAGACTGGGGCTGTGTTGAGGTCACCTTCTAGAATAACCAAGATTAGTGAAAGGCATAGCAAGTGGGGCTGGCAGACTGCAGTTACACAGACACTCAGGGTATAGCTTGTGTGTGAGTTACTTCATTAAGCCATTGCAAGGCACTCAGTGTTGCTGGTCAGGCATGACAGCTGATAATTAATCTTGATTGTACCTTCATATGTCACAATTACCTTTTACTGTGTAAATTCAAACTGCTAAGCAAAACAAAAAGTAGGTCATGTTCCCCCTGCCCCCACACTGCTTTTAAGTCACACCCTAGTAAACAAGTTGTTCCTTTGAGAAAAAATCCACATTACATATATTATATACATGCTTTCTCTTTTAATATCAAATAAGGCATCTCTTTTAGATTTCTGCATTCTGGACTGAAATATCGAACTCCTGCGGCAAGGTGACTACTTAGAATAATCCTACCCCTTACATTTTCTCTCTTCTCATGCAAGCAAGTTAATTGATTATCTATACTACATATAAAGGAAAATAATCATGAAGAAAGATTTCAGTAAGAATAGGAATGAGTTGCTGTCTTACCTGCAGGATACGTAACTGCAAAGGAATCAAACATAGGACAGAAAGTTAAATCAAGGCTCAGCTGTCACTTACAAAATAATGCAAATCTAATGTAGAAAAAAGGAGTCCTTACTTGGAGCCACTGAGGGACATTGGATGACAGTAGAATGTCTCAGACAGTCAGTACTACAACTGGCAAAGAATGGTTGAATCTGGAGTTGACACAAATCAGAAAATAGTTCTGGAAGTAACTCTGAGCCTTGCTTTACTCTATCCCCCACTGCGAATTTTGAGACAAAGATTATAATTCCCATTTCTCTCCAAAATATTAAAGCATTAAGGATTCTGGGGACTACGCTCAATACTCAGACAGGAACTGACCATTAGGGGTGCCTAAAGATCTGTCAGCCCCAGTCTCTCTTAGGACTAATTAGTATGGGAAAAATGATGTAAGGATGAACCATTCTACACAGAGAATCCATCTACATGTATGGTGTTCTTTCAGAACATATTTCCAGAACGTATTTCCTGAAATATGGGCAAGTGGGGATCAGTCATGGACAGAGCTCTGTATTGTACAATCATTGTAATATTCCGAGATTATTCATTCCCCCCTTCTCCTCCCTTGAGTGAAAAGGATTGAGGTTATACCTGTATTTTGTATCTGCAACAGGCTTTTAAGTTTTTCTCAATTTTGACAGTGACGTTCACACGGTGTTGCAGTCCACTCTGCAGAGATCAACAGACAAAAATATTACTAGGGAAGGCAGAAGAAAATGGCAAAGATCAGAAGAAGGTAGGGCAAATGAGATATGGGTCACAAGATGTTACGGTACTAGGTAGAGAGAGTTTATAAAAGACTTCAATGGGAGCCGAGAGCAGTCATACAGAAGAATACAGCGAAATTCCACAGCAGCTAGCAGTGTGACATACATTTATAATACTCCCTTAATTGGCTACATGGATTAAGTAGAAATGGACAAACAGACTTTTTGGTTCGCTAGCAACTCTGGAAAAAAAATGAAAACATAGTTTAAAGTAAAACAAAACATTTTATTTTGATTTAAACTGTTTTGATGTTTATTTTTAAAATAAAATAAAGGAGGTTTCAAAATAAACTCATTTTGAACAAAAAACCCTAAACATTTTGTTTAGAAAGTATCAAAACAATATTTTGATTTTTTGGATTTATTTTTTTTTAAAACCTGAAACTATTAAAAATTGACACAGATTTGCAAAACATGTTTAGTATTGCCAAGTTCGCATTTTTTAAACCAAAAACAGATAGTCAAAGTTTTGCCCACCTCTGGTATGAAGATTGAGTAATTAAGCATCCAGGTCAGACACCCCTAAAGTTAAAGTGGTACTATACCACCTTAATGTGTTTACTTAGGTTACCTAATATGCAAAGATTAAACACTTAACGTGCAAGCTTTTGTTTAGTTTCAAACTAAACACAACCATCTATGCACGACTAACTTGGGTCATTAGAACAGGAAAGTGACTGACATCCATGGACCATGGAATACAACTGATATCCTTGGGGACAATATTCCTTATGCCAACTGGCAAGGCCTTTTTGTGTCTAAATTGGATCTTATACTTCTGTCAGATATCTTTAGCTATTTGCCACATAAGTGATCCGAATACAGGTTGGATCTGCCTGGTCCGGAACCCTTGGGACTTGACTGGTCCCGAACAGAAAATTTGTCAGAGCAGGGGAGGTCCCATGCCACTGGTCCTGAAACCCACCACCTTGCTGCCAGCTCACTACCGCCCCAACCAGGCACCATGCCTCCACCCCATTGCTAGCCTGGCTGGGCTGCTGGCCCAGCTGCAGCTGGCTCCCCATGCTGCTGGGGGGCTCCGGCCCTAGCCCTGCATTGATGGGAGCTGCCACAGGGCTCTGGCCCTGGCTCTGTACTGCCTCCAGCCAAGGGCTGCTGGCCCTCCTTCCATTAGGCTCCCAGACTCTCTGGTTCAGGAGCATCCATGGTTTGGGATGCCAACGGATGTTTCTGGACCAGTGTGTGCCAGTTTTCAGAAATGCAACCTGTATGCATCAATACAGTGAGGGTAAGAGCAATGCTGGGGATGGAAGGAATGCAACAGTCAGGCCATACCCGGTTCCTAGCTACACCCTTACTGTGGGGATGGGAAATAGTATCAAATTTTCAGAAGTTTTTTCCCCCCACAAGTTCCCTAGAATGGGCAGCCCCCAACACTGGTATTTGGAGTTCTTGTTTTGAGAGTCAAACTTGATAGATTCAGGCAAGAATCTTCTGTTCTTCTGTGTAACACAGGCAACAGAACTTCTCTGAATTAATTCCTATTTGAACTAAAGCATAACTTTCAGAAAAAACATAAAACTTTGATTTAAATAACTGCCAGTGACAAGGAATCCACCACAACCTTTGGTAAACTCTTCCAGTGGTTAAATACCTTCCCTGTTAAAACAGCGTGCAATTTATTTCTAGTTTACATTTGTCTAGCCTCAATTTCTAGCCTTTGGATCTTTGCTAGGCTGAAAAGACAAGTTAATTTTTTTATTTCCCATGGAGGTACTTTTAGACTGATCAAGTCATCCCTAAGCCTCTGCTGAACTGAACACATTAAGCTCCTAGAGTTCCTCAATGCAGGGCATATTTTTTAATACTTTTATTTTTCCTTGTAACTTTTCTCTGAAACTTGATCCTTCACTTTCCACTACCTTACAAGTAAAATCGCTTGAGCAAATGCAAAATAAATTCACAAAAATAGTTCTTAGGATTTCTGCTCAGTTGTATTTGTGAGCTCTCCCTCCACTAGGGCATACTGATTGTTGAGGTAACATGGAAAAGAGGTTTCGGTTTGTATCAACACAGATGTGGGAAGGAAGATGGTTACCTCAGAAATATCCTGAGTGGTCTGTTTACACGGCTTTTCATCATCTGAGAAGCTGGTCACATGGATCCGGTATCGGGCTGACTCCATCCCAGGGCTAAAACTTAATTCCACGGAACTCTCATCTAGACTTTTGCCATCAATACTGGGCTCCCACAGGTTGCCTGCAAGTAGTATTAAAATATCTCAATTACAAAAACTTTCAGAAGTACTCAAAACTGGCCACCCTTCAACTCCCATTGCTCTAACTGACTGAGACAAACCCACTTTACCTGTCTGCATACATGGCAAGGTTCTTTTCATCACAGGGTGCCTACAATCTGTAGCAAAAAAGACAATCTGTTAAGTCTTTGCACAGAAATGTTACACTTAATTTCAGAATGTTGGACACATTTTCTCATTAGAAGTCAGATAATTTTTAGACTATTTTGGAAGGGTGAAGCCCTTTGTTTCAGGGCAGCCATCACCAAAGTAATTAGTCTCTAAACACAATAATTAAAAACAGTATGTCACTACTGTCCAAGTATGAACCATCTTCTCTACTTGGGTCATGTTTTTATGGATCATTCCAGGACAAAGCTTTCTAGTGGGAAAGGACTATTCTGTAGCATTGGCTGAGGGAAGGCGTGTGCAAAGTGCATCTAAGCTCTACAGAGGCAAGCTATGATTTCATATTGATCTCTGAAAGTACAGAGGTTCACAGCTGCAGACATCTCCACCAAAGATGTCCTGCCACCATCTCCAGTGAGCTCAACCTAGAGTTCCATTAGCTGGAATACCCTTGGTGAATGACATTTTTCTGCAGTTACCTTGTTTTTCTGAGCTATACTTGGCAGATTGGATTGTCGAATCTGTAGAATATCAACAGCAGGCTGGCCCAGCCTCAAACATCTATAAGCCAAATTGAGTTACTTGGGCTCTACAACTCTTGACCCAATGTGATCATCTTCTAGGTGGAATGGCCTAGGGGAAGGGTGGTGGAAGGAATAACTCACTATCTTCTATTCTCAACAGAGGGAAAACGCCTTATAACCTGAATCTTTGACTTTCTTTTCCATTTTGGGGTCTCACAAATCATAATCCAAGCCCTGAACAACAGAGAGATCTGCTGCTCACTTCTACCTCAAAATAGAAAGTTTATGGGAATGCAGAAGTAGGGGGCACTATTTGTAATAGGTAAGGGTATGTCTACACTACAAAGTTAATTCGAACTAACAGACATTGGTTCGAATTAACTTTGATAGGCGCTACACAGGCAAACCGCTAGTTCGAACTTAATTCAAACTAGCAGAGCGCTTAATTCGAACTAGGTAAACCTCATTCTATGAGGACTAACGTCTAGTTCGAATTAAGGGCTGTGTAGACCCTTAATTCGAACTAGTGGGAGGCTAGCCCTCCCCAGCTTTCCCTGGTGGCCACTCTGGGCACCACCAGGGAAACTCTTCTGCCCCCCTCCCGGCCCCGGAGCCCTTACTTAATTCAAACTAGCAGAGCGCTTAATTCGAACTAGGTAAACCTCATTCTATGAGGACTAACGTCTAGTTCGAATTAAGGGCTGTGTAGACCCTTAATTCGAACTAGTGGGAGGCTAGCCCTCCCCAGCTTTCCCTGGTGGCCACTCTGGGCACCACCAGGGAAACTCTTCTGCCCCCCTCCCGGCCCCGGAGCCCTTAAAGGGGCACGGTCTGGCTACGTGCCCATGCCAGGTGCAAGCCTGCCAGCACACAGCCAGAAGACCCTGCACCTGGCACGGCACGAACCAGCCACCCGCTGCCACCCAGTCCTCCCCCTCTTCCCGGGATCA